CCCGTCCCAGCACCCGGGGTCGCCTCCGGGGCCCGGCCTCTGCCTGCCGTGCTGGCTGGGAGGTGTGGTCCCTGCCTCGCCCCAGCCCCGGGTCAGCCTTCTGGCTTCTCCCCTGCGCCCTGGCTGCTCCGCCACCAAAGGACCTGGGGATACCTTGGCCGCCGCGAAATACCGGGGTTGCACCCCATTCCCTCCTCCACAGCGCCTCTCCAGCCCTCCACCCATTCCCTCGAGTCAAGCACCCTTCCAACTTGTCTTCGCCGCCGCACCAGGTTTCTTTGACCCTTTCTATGCGTGTCACTGTAGGGCCCTGCATTTTGGATATCTCGAAACCCACGTTTTATGTAGACGAACCCCTTAACCCTTGGCGGTGGTGTTGATGCCCCCGGAGAGGCCACACGACTGAGCTCATACTTTCTGGTTATCGCTTAAAAAAAATACGAGAGATTATTACATGCTCATGGCAGTCTCCAGATCTTGGGTCTGAGAGGCATACTTTGAAAGAGTGAATGAATCTCCAGGTAGCCTGCACCTTTTAGCTTCGTGGCTGGGATGTGCTGGAGTTGGACTGATCCTTATTTCCGGGCCACTGTCCTAACTTGGAATACTTGGTAGGGGAAGGAGAACTTGGCTGTGGGTCAGTTGGTTCTATTCTACCTAATTAGCTTTGTCGTTTGGGAATTGATTTAAAAAAAATAATGGTGTTCTCATGTTGGGACTTTGTGGATTTTGGAAATGACCCCTCAGAGGAAGGTCTGATAGAAATGGCCCCAAATGGGAAGTTTTTGATGGTCGCAGATACTTAGACCTTTACTTCCTTTTGTGTGTTATTTCATCTCAGGTTTGTGGTACATCTGAGGGATCGATTATCGGTCAGTTTCATTTTTTTTTTAAAGTTGTAAGACCTTGAGGTCTTTTAAGGTATTGTTTTTAGCGGACTGTTTAGATATTGTTACGTATAAGGGTTGGAAGTCTTTAACCAAAGAAGAATGCTGTGTTTTTTATAATGTCTTGCATTCTTAACCCTCTTTTTAGTCTAGCTGAATCAACTGAACTTAGTTTAGCTGAATTAAAATTGCAAATTGGGTTAGTGCTTGGAACATAAAACTAAGGTTTAGGAAAAAGAATGAACACTTATAAATCTGCTCATATAATTAATTTTTTAAAAATGTTAATGTATTATGCATGGTGTTGTCAGGTTTTGTTGTTGTTGTTAAAAGCATGTATATAATTTGTGACTTTGTTTACATGTCAGAAACCAGTCTGGGTGGGGGTAGAGGATGGGACAACCAGAGGCTGACATATACCTGCCCCTACTTGTTTTATATACATCATTTCCTCTACTTTTCTCATGACCCAGTGAGGTAGGTGTTATTATTCCCAATTTAGAGATGAGTGAAGTGAGGCTTTAAGTAACTTGCTCAGGATCACACAGTTTGTCATCTTTTAAAAAAATCCAGTATAGTGATGATACAAGCTGCAAAGTTTTAGTGAATGAAATGAAGATA